GTAGTTTATGTAATTTCTTTCAGCTTTAATGCATAAATTAAATGTATTGTTTCAGTATAGTTATGTTTGTCAATCAGAGTATACCTTTAATATTTATTTCTCTTTTACAGGTAATCCCCCTCATTCTCAGAAGAGAAAATAAAGAGTGCGTATCCGATTGTCCGTATAATCAAAGAAACTTGTTTGTTCTTGAAAGCCGAGAAACCGTGTGTAACCGTATAGATCTGACTTATTTACTTTATGTATTTAATGTCAAAACATTTTCTTCCTTAGATTCATTAATTGTATGTTCATGATTTTTCGGGTACTTGTTATTTTGAACGTGTACAATTTTGTTATTTATATTTATCATAATAGTTAGAAAAAACTTAGAGTTAAAGCATTTTTGTTACGTCATCTTTTGTTTAACCTATTCATTTTTAGATGATCTGTCGTCAATAATCACTAAAATATCAGAATATGAAACTGTGGCATACTTTGTGGTGTCTTTTAAGTTCACTGGGATATATATATATATTTATCGTGTCAAAAAGGATAGAAATAACTTCATAAACTTCATATTCATAAAACGTCGTCGATATATCTGAATTTTGAGTTTAAGTCCAATGCAATTATTTGTTCTGTACAAAGTTTTGAAGAATCTTTGCTTCATATGAATTTTAAAAAGGTCGACTAGAAAAGGAGCACAATTAGTGCCCATTAAATTTTCACACGTTTGATGGACAATTTGGTCAACGAAGACGCTAAAAATGTACAAAATAATACCTGAACTGCACAAGCACGTGCTTCTGAAATAAATTTTAACCCATAGTATAATAATCACAGTGTTAACTATGGCACGCCAAATTCACAAAAATGAGATAAACATAGTTTCACAGTCGATAAACTAGGTTTATTGGTTGTAAACTATAGTTTACGGACTGTAAACTATAGTTAACAACGTTAATCTATATTTTACATCTGTAAACCATAGTTAACGCGATAATCTATGTTTCACAACCGTAAACTATACTTAACACCGAAAACAATCATTTGCGATTGCAAAACATAGATTATCTGATAAATACAGTTTCACGATTTGTAAACTATAGTTTACAAACCGTTAACTATAGTTAACGATCTGATAAATATAGTTTCACGATTTGTGAAACTATGATTAACAACTCATAACTATAGTTTACGATTGTAAATTCTAGTTTACAAACGTGAATCTATGTTTATCAACAAAATCTGTTGTTAACGCTTTATTACAGACAGATAAACTTAGATTAGCATTCGTAAACTATAGTTAACGACCGTTAAATATAGTTTTACAGATGAAAACTATAGTTAATGAATTGTTAACTATAGTTCACGGTTTGTAAACTATAGTTTACAGTCGATAAACTTAGTTTATCAACTGTGAAATTATGTTTAGCTCATTTTTGTGATTTTGGCGTGCCATAGTTAACAGTAACAGTATAATCTGTTGGCATGATTGTAATAAGCATCGAGTCCTCTACCAAAATTGTGTTAGGACAGGGCTCTTTTGATTATATTGTAAAAACGCATTAATTCTTTGAGAATCTCTGCTCCTGGATATTAAACAAATAAGCTCATTGTATAGTCATGATAAGCAAGAGTGTGTCTTTTCCAAAATTGCCAATTTCTTGACCCCAGGGTCAGGGGTTCTGGTGCATGTTGGGGCGGAGCTCTATTGATTACATGTATATATAGTGAAAATACATTATTTCTTTGAAAATCTTCTTTGCTTACGGATTTTAAACATACTAACTTCATACATACAGTGTATGATATGTAGTTATGATGAGCAAGACTAGCTTCTTCTTCTAGAATTGTGAGTTTCTAAGCCCCTTGATCAGGGGTACTGTAGGGAGGGTCTAATGAATACATACTGAAAATGAATCAATGTATTGAAATCTGCTCCTTGGTATTAATCAAACATTTATGATGAGCGAGTGCCTTTTCCAAACTTGTGAAATTTGTTGCTTCAGGGTCAGGGGTTCCTGTGGGGTGGGTCACTACTGATTATTGCTGAATATTACTAATTAGTTGAAATGCATTTTGTTTGTATCCCTACTCAAATTATGGGTATTAAGTAACCAAACTAAGTATGCTTAATGTATAGCTATGATGAGCAATGATGCCTCTTTCAAAATTGTTAATGCCATGGTTCCTGGTTTAAAACACGAATCAAATTCAATTGTTGGAAAGTTGTTACATGATGCTCAGGTGACCTGTAAGGCCCGTGGGTCTCCCTTTTTGTCGCTCGTTTCCGAGTTCGGGTGCTATTTCTTGTATTAAATGCTTTCCACCGCTTTATAAATGGTATTCAATAATTAACCATTATTATACAGAATGCAATACATGTTTGTATATAAAAAGAAATGAGATATCATGAAAAAACTTAATCGTTTTATTTCAGGATGACACCAAAGTCGACGTCGAAATGCATTTTTAAACTGATGTTCCAAAACCACATACGGCCATATGGAACTATTGAAAGGTAAATAAAGTATAAGAAATAGGAGTAAAATATATGGTTAATTATCGAATACCATTTTTAAGAGGGCGAAATATTTAACCCGAATCTCGAGAGAGAAAAAAACGACGGCGGAAATCGAAAGTTTTTGCTACGTTTGGATCTGTAGCTCTCTGCTTTTTCTACACGTCCGAATAGTCTCAAGCAGACAGTTTTGCAGCTATATATAAGTATAGCAATTTTTTCGGCCCTTTTTCTGTCAAAATATTATTTGCAAAGAATCGTCAACTTTCCTGCCTTACCCAAAGCAATATATTCTTATCACCTGCATATAGGGTTTATGCCTCTCATACCATTCGATACACAAGAGATGCTCTACGTATGAACTATTTCTAAAACGAAGCGAGTTATTGATAAACAAGTTGATGAAACAGAGACATCCATAGTCTTGTTTAAATTCAAAATTTCGCATGTTCTTTTTTGCTTATATAACAGCCTATCATCGAGTCATATGCCAACTGACATTGTTATGCCCCTGGATCAAAAGATCCCGGGGGTAAATTGTTTTTGTCCTGTCTGTCTATCTGTTTTTTTGTCTGTTTGTCTTTTTTCTGCCTGTTGTAAACTTTAATTTAGCCCATAACTAATGAGTGGGTGGGACTATGACTTTCATATTTCACATGTGTATTTTATGTGACAAGACTTTTCTTTGGGTACCACCAAATTTGACCTTTCCACATTGATTTTGGAGTTTGATCTACTTTAACAAAAAGAAAAAAAAACAAACACACTTTAACCTTTGCCATAACTTTTGAAGAGTTGGATCTAGGGCTTTCATACTTCACATGTATATTACTGTGACAAGACCTTTCACCTGGTTGAAAAATTTTGACCACATGACCTTAATCTTGGAGTTTGACCTACGTTTACAAAAAATACCACATTTTAACCTTGACCATGACTTTTGAACATTTGGAGCTAGGGCTTTCATACTTCACCTGTGTATTTATTGTGACAAAACCTTTCATCAGGTATAAATATTTTTGACCTCTTGACCTTGGAGTTTGACCCGCTTTTAAAAACTTAAACCTTGATCATAACTTTCGAACGGTAAGAACTAGGACTTTCATATTTCACAGATTTATTCCTTGTAACAAGACCTTCCTTTGAGTACAAACAATTAAATTGACCTTGACCTTTGGAGTTTGATATGCAGTTGAGAGAATTCAATTCTTGCCATAAGCTGCCATACGGGGGCATCAGTGTTTCACAAACACATCTTGTTCATACTTATTGTTAGTTCATTATTTACGTACTGAATTGACTACGATTGTCCCAGTTTTTTTCCGATTATGACAAAGAGCACAAGGCGAGTGTAACCGGTGGGCAGGGAATGTTCATTCCTCCATGGCACCTGATCCCACCTCTGATGTTTTGGGGGTCCTGATTTGTATTGTTTGAATGAACTTTTGAGCTTGAATACTAGTACTGTTCTTTATCTTCATATATTTTATGCCAAAGTAAGTAGCTAGCATATACAAGGCATTTTATTTGCTAAATAAAACTCTGCAAAAGTCATATTTCGGGTTTTTTTATTTGTCAAAAGGGGCATAACGATTATTCTTCGTCACTTAGCGACACTTGATGGGGAGAATGTCAGATCAATCCATTCCCCCATTCTCCGTCTCTTTCTTCCCGTGATTACTTATCTTTGCCAATGTTATTTTTCTCTTAATCATAATTCTTGTCTTCCTCATGTAATTTTTTACTTATAACTTTAACAGTGCATTTTTCAAGTAAGTAATAAAACCAACGAAACTGAGCTTTGAGGCTTTAAAACATGTAATTACTGAAAGGATTAGAGGACTGTCCAAAATTGTTAATTTGAGGAATTTACAAAACATTGACAGGGAATTAAAAAAATGTAAAGACTCAAAATACATATTCTTTTTACATCAATTAATATTTTGAAAGTTTACTACCTTCGAATTCTCTCTCTCTCTTTCAACAAATTCCATTTCTCTTTACCATAAATCGTGTCTATTTGATTGTATGTATGTGTGTGATTTTTGTAAAAGCAGAATAATAAAAAAATTACATGTCATTTATAATATGAAGAATTTTCTCAGACCTTGGCTTCAAGGAGATGTGTATTTTTGTACGTAGTACCTAGGTTGAATATTAATTAGTATAATTATAGGAAATAAGAAGCTATAGTCTTGTCAAAGGCTATACGCTCATTGAATGTCCTGAGGAGGTTATGTATACACAGTAAATGGACATCCTATGATCTAAATATACAACGGATAAATGTTAGATTACCATGCTTCTGAGCAAACCAGGGTCATTATTTATTGCCACCTACTGGCAGAATCACGAATACCTCTCCTATTTATTATTTCCTAAATTATCCTGACCTCTAACCTTTATTCATTGGGATAAAAAGGTGTGACCCTCAATGACCAAACCGTAAACGGACATAAGACAACAGGAATATCCAGCGAGAGCAGCGGACACGATGCTGCTTCGGGGTTTGCTTCTGTTAAGTCTGATAGGGATCTATCTAATACCAGGAAATGAGGGTTTTTTCGACTTTTTCGGTGAATACAGAGGTAAGATTCCTCTGAAGAAAAAAAAATTAAAAATTCTTTCATATATTTCTTATCAGTATCGAAATACACATCCACATTTAAATGTCCAGAATTCACAATGGTCACACTTTGACAGATTTTGCATTTTTTGAGGCAAGTGAAATTTTATTTTATCAGTATTTTAACACAAATTATAAATAAAGGTAAAAATACAGGCACAGATATTTTGACCTTTGTTACTGTCTATATGGTCTGAGACAAGGTGTACCTTTAGATCTATCAATATTTATGTTTCTCTTGTTTGTTTTCCATTGTTTTTCAGCACATCAATTTGAAACAAATTAAATTCAACTTCTCTCTGTGACTTCTCACATTTTATCGCTGATCCATTTTCACAGCACTTACGCTAAAGCTTTTCCGCGATTATATGTTTTTGCCTCTCTCGACCATGTACCTAAAATCTTTTGTCAACAACCTTTTTTACCCTATGTGGATAAGAAGGGCTGCCTTTGTTTAAGAAAACTCTAAACACTAATAAAAAGTGCTTATTGGACTTGGAATATATCGTATAAAGGTGTGAACATGCCTATTGGGGCTACTGATAATTAATTTTCAACATGGGTACCTGCCTTATTTTCGCAGGAAAAATATTCAAAGACAATAGAACAATTTATGTGCAGAAATAATTGTTGTTTACTTACATAGGGAAAATAAATGCAAAAAATGAATTCATTTACTTATCTTTGGTCTAATATAATGCTAAAACTACCCTATAAATAAAACTCTTTAGTGTGCAGTGTTTGGAGCTTCCTTAAAGATGAATAATTTTTATCAATTCTGAAACATCAAATAACAGTATAAACTGTGAAATTCATTCATATTCAGTTCTTTATAAGAAAATTACTGGAAAATACATTCAAATATCTAAAGTAAGAACAATTTGTTGCTAAGCACAACCTGTGGCTGGGCAAAAATCGCTAAAAGAAGATATCAAGGAAGGGAGGCTTCTCATAACTAGTAGTTAAAACCAATCACGGAAAAACAAAAGTCATGGAAAAGCAGGCAGGCCGTGACTGAACCGGAGAAGCAGGAATGTTCTTTTAAATTTTTTTCAGGGAGGGGGACAAATACAAAAGAGCAAAAATTATTAACGTTAAAGTGAACTATGAAATCTCTGCTGAGTTGACTTTGGAAGAAAGAAGAAAGACTCTGTTCACTGATGTCCTTAAAAATATGAAGATTTAGGAAGACGCTGTGTGTTTCCAATTTATACACAAGCCTGAAAAACATGAAAAGCCAATTTCTTTCAGGCTTTCTTGCACAGAATTAAGAAAATGTATAATCATTAAATTAAATTTTCTGAGCAACTATCATTAAATGAAAAATTTCTCAGGAAATCCATATAATCATATATATACATTTTGTATGAAGGAACCCTACATTTCGAAAACATCAAAGCGGTTTGTTTGATGTAGCCTAACCGGCGTCAGATTTATTAATTAAGCATATTTTCACCTGTAAATAATAAAGGTAAACACACCGTTGGACGAGGAATGAGCGCACAGACTGTCAAAAACCGCGCCATAATTAATGATAGTGTCAGTGCCTGCTGATACGAAACAGTGCACTCCTCGGCATCCTACAATAATATTACTTATTTGACCAACCATAAAAATCCTCGTTCAAACTTGTGCCATTCACTTCCTCGTATTTTAAAAGACAGAATGATTTAAGAGTATAAATATCAGAAAGTTAGATAATATCACAGGGGAAAAACGAAGTACTTTTTATTTCCATAATGCAATACAGAACTTTTTACTCTTATGATAGGCCTATATTTAATTTACATTTCGTATTCATAATTTCGAACATATTATCGGATTAACACATTCTTTTGTTTATCCATGTATATGATACACACATGAATCCTACAGATTTTTGCAATACTTCGGAGGACAAGCTGGTATCCTACAAGGTGCTCCTTATAGTCGGTGTTTTTTTATGTTGGTACAGAACGGGTCAGATACAATAAGTGCTTCTGTTATAAAAGTGTTTATGACAGGTTTATGAATATACGCTTTATATTTAGGTTTTAGAGCGTAAAGAAATGGCTCACTGGTAGAATTTATAGTATTTTGTCAAATACATGTATGAATGTTCCGCTAGAACGGCAGACGAAGTTCGGCAATGCTAAAGACGACATATTTAATAAAAAGAAGTATTCTTTCCAAATCAATGAAAACTGTGAATATTTCACAATAAAAAAACACATATAAATATACTTGTTATGGAATTATGCATTTCCTATACATTAATAATGATACAATGGTCTTATACTTATTGTTCTTATACCTAATTAATAATTCACTGTGATATAGCTCCCCCCTCTTTTTTTCTCTCTCTCATAATTATATAACCTATAAACAGTACTATATTTATTGGTAAATGCATTGACGTTAGAAGCAAATTGAAAGTTGGGGGGGGGGGGGCTAAGTGTAAGAATTTTTTTTTAACCTACAAAAATACCTGACAAGCAAAAAAAAAAAGTAAATATGTCCATTGTCCAAACATGAAAATCCTATTTCGTGGGTGGGGGGTGGGGTGTTATTGACCTTCTTTTATTACCAAAACTTATTCCAAATACCACCACTGTGTCCATTTTAAACCTGTACTGCGACGTGTCTGGAGAAATTGGGGGGGGGGGTGTAAACTTACGCCGCAATGTACAATGCCTATACTAAGTCTATCTTTGCAAAATAAGTGTGTGTGTGTGTGGCGGGGGGGGGGGGGGGGGGTAAGCCACCCCCTCCCCCCCCCCCCCCCCCCCCGGTTCCGACGCCTATGAAATGTATAACTATAAGAAACTGATTTTGTCCAAAGTTTTATTTCCTAAAAAGACAAATCTTTCCTCACTATATTAAATTGTAATATTATATTCTGTATATTTGATTACAGAGTGTGAAGAAACAGATGAATACTTACTAACTCAAAACAAAGGCTGCCTTTAATACATTAATGACATTATAACATGTCATCCATTTATTTAAGAAAATATACTTTATAATATGATTTTTAAATACAACTCTTTGTTAATATCCAGTAAACTGTAAAAGTGATTTTATTTTTCTCTAATTTCAGATATAATGTCAAACTGCCGTAGAGATGGTGGATACTGCATTAATCCCTACAGAATGGCTGCTTCTGAACAGGAAACCGAGGAACCGGCCGCGGGGGCAGGAGGGGCAAACGGAGCCGCTGGGGGACGAGGGGCCGGCGCCGGTAGAGGAGGAAGAGGTGGGCCCGGAGCCAGAGGAAGGCCCCCTCCCAGACGAGTCGATTTCTGGGGAGTAATCTACGAAAACTGTCTCTCCTGGGACTATGACTTTGGTTGTAACAGACAAGGCGGCATCTGCTGTTACACCTACTAGACATAGAAAAGGTGGGGTCGACAATAAAGTCAAGATGTGATGTGACATCCATTTTAATTTTAAGATAACATTTCTTTTATCTTTTATTTCTACAGGTAGAGCTTCAATCTTTCTCAGAAGTGTATGTGAAGTGGGTCCTATTGCACGCCTCGAATCCATCGAATCGCACCAACTCATCAGTCCAATACAGCCGGGAACATCGCCTTTAGACGCTCTTTGTATTGATATAATACATGTATATATTAACCAGGACCAAGTTTGTTATCATTGTTACAAGATATGTTTGATGCCCCCGTTTGGCAACTTATGGTTAAGGTTAAAGTTTTGCAAATGCAAGACAAACTCCAAGATCAAGGTCAAGAGATTAATGATAATTTTTACCAAATCAAGGTATCGTGACAAGGAAAATACTTGTGAAACATGAAAACCCTAGCACCAAGGCGGTCACAATTATTAGTATGACCGTGGTTGAAGCTTTTCAAAAGTTGATAAAACTCCGAAAGTAAAAGTACGCAAAGGGATGTTTTGTCAGAAGGAAAACATAAAAAATCCTAGCACCATTTGTTCAAAAGATGTGACCAATGTTAAAGTTTTTAAAAAGTATGTCAAGCAACGAAGATCAAGGACAAAAAGTCAAAAATACTTGTACTGGAGGAAAGGTCACAAGTAATAAAATTGTGATTTAGAAACATAAAACCCCTAGAAAGAAACCTTTGAAAGTTATGGCCAAGGTTATAAAAGTTTCGTAAAATTTTGCCTAAGTGGGTGACTCTACAAGGTCAAGAGATCAAATATATTAGTACCCACAGAAAGGTCTTGACAAAATATACATCTGTGAAATACAAAAGTCATACCCTCAACCAATTAAAGCTTCAAGGCAAGGTTTAAGTCCTTGCAGACAGACAAACTGACAGTCAGACAGGACATAAACTTTGTGTCCCCTAATCTTCGACTACGGGGGCATAAAATATTTGTGGCTTTTTCTTAGACATACAATGTCTATATCCCCATAAATAACCAAAGTGAACAACAACAAAACTGTACAAACCAAATACAACATTCACCTGTCATAGTCATCAAATAGTATCTGCAGTAATCAAAATCAATCCTGACAAAATTGATAACAAAGAGGGCGTATAAGGTGTGGACAATCCCCCGCTCTGAGATAAAATGTTTCTCAATTTTCAAAATTCACAGAAAAGTTATATTTTTCTAAAATCATGTTCTCAATAATGTCATCTTCTAAACATTTTATCATTTCAGTTTACTGAACGACTTATTATTTGATAATCTTTATTTCAAAGTTGACAGTTAAGCACATTTCAGTGGAAAATGGGTTTACCAGAGCTATAAAAATGAATTTTGAACATGAATGGGCCAAGTCTCCATTTTTCGTTAACGCTTACATTTTGGAAACGTAAATGTAAAATCTATTTCATTTGTTAAAAAAATGGAATCTGAACCCATTCCAGGGGCGTAGCCAAGGTACCTGTGATGTGGACGCCCGAGTAGGTCATGCAGGGGTTTTGGGGGTGCCTTAAAACCCTAATGGGTCTATGACAAAGCCCTGGTGGGGGCCTAGGGGGCGAAGCCCCCGGTAGCTAGTGAGTTTTCGACGATCTCAGTGTGCATATTCGACCCTCCTGATCACATTTTTCTTACACTTAAAAAGTTTGTTTCGCAGTCATATTCGGTTTTATACAAAAGCGAACAAACACTCAAAAATAAGAAAGGATCTGTCCAAAATCGCTGTATGTCACTGAAAAGTCAATATTAGTATGTTATTCATTAAGAAAGAAGCTTACTAGCAATGTTTAATATAAACCAAATTCTGGGAAAATCGAATGATTTCAGAGAGGTGCATATCCTATCGTTTTTTCCCTTAAAACTGATCTTGTTAATTTTTATTTCTTTTTGTTATTTGAAATTGTAATTTTCTTTTAAATTTATTTTTAAAATGCCATTTGACGTGTATGCTTTAAGAACATATTACAAGCATATATGTAAATTACGCCTGTTTCCCTATCTATCTCTCTCTCATATTTTTTTTTTCAAAATGATGTGGACGTTTTTGCGTACAAACGTACGCCTGGCTACGCGCCTGCATTCTATATGAGAATCGAAAATTTCTGAAAAAATGTACCCTTCAACAAACCCGTTCATTTAAATTACACTGACAGACAAATGTATATTCTTCGTAGCGTAGTGGTTAAAGCGGTCGTCTTGGACCAAACCCTCCGCTATGGAGAGAGTTCGAATCATACATGTACGTGAAAGTTTTTCTTTTTTGTTTTCACATATCTTAAAAATATGAGTTGAATAAAATATTAAAACAATGAAATACAGAATTAAATGTGTAAAAGATTATATGTAAACAATATAATTTTGAAAAAAATATAACTTTTAGGATTGAGAAATGTCTTTTCTCAGAGCGGGGGATTGTTCTCGCCTTGTGCGCCTCCATTCAAATTTTGGCAATACCCGTCACATTTGAAACAAGAAAAGGTTTCGACACTGCTAATAACGTGCTAGAGTGTTCGAATGATCACTTGCCTGTGATAGATTATAAAGGCCTACAGAGTAATCATACACACCGGGAAAGCTTGATTTCTGTCTAGAACGTTAAGATCTTTGAATTGACAGAAAATAACCGTACACTTTATTTAAAAAAAACCAACATTAGCTTAAGAGGGCTGGTGGTTTTGGCCAGTTTTGGACTCTATTGATCTCCTTTAGAAGAAGAGCTCCATCAGAAGATATATAAAAAAATGATCAAATTTCAAAACAAAAATGTTTGAAATTTTTCTTTGCAAAATGAAAGTTTACAGCTTAAGATATCATATCTAAAAAATGAAGTTATATCTGATGGTTAATTTGTTGACCCCAGCCTCCTTAACCACGCCCTACATAGGCGTCGGAACGAGGGGGAGGGGGGGGCTTAGCCCCCCTCACTTTTTTTTGCAAAGATAGACATGATATAGGCATTGAAAGTTGGGATTTACCTTATTTTGTTTGTTTAGTCCTCCCCCCCCCACTTTCAATTATCCCCCCTCACTTTCAATTCCTATAGTTCAAAGGATAAAGACAAATGGACAAAAGGTACGGGTTCAATGTACAGTACATTGACCTATAGACGTCATAAAAAACTCAGATAACTAGCATTCAGACAATAACGAGCAATATACGACAGTACAGGAATAACTGCAATACTTCGCGATTTTTTTTGTCAATGATAACAAGCCAACAGTCAATGACGCGAGTGAGTTAACGCTACATATGGAGGTTTCTATGCAAAATATCTAATTAAATTCCATAATTGCTCTACCTACTGCACTGAAAATGTAAAGACTTGTTTTCTGGTACATTCCAGGTACCCACGACATGCGATAGCCAGTACACATTATGACGTCATATTTTGACGCCATTGACTTCTACTACACAAGTTTATAAGAAACATGAACAAAATCGCTTCGGCGCAAGGGCATACCTTACTTTGTTTTACAGAAACAATGTAGAAAAAGACGCGGGATATTACAAGTATTTAAGATATTGCTGCACAAATGTCGGCGCTGCAATTGTTTAGTTACTATTCGTACAGTTTTAAGTTTAAACAGGGAAAAAAATTCACAGTCCAGTGTAAGTTTCCTAAAATTTTTATCGATTAAGAAAGTTCATAGGATTTGTGCAGCAATTTTATTAATTTTAACAATATTCTCCTTAATATTATACATTTTTTATTTTAAATTAGATAGGATATGCCCTTGCGCCGACGTGATTTTGTTGATGTGATTAATTACCTTGAATGGGAGAGAACAATGACGTCATAATATGACGTCATAATGTGCACTTGCTTTAATAAACTGTGGGTACTTAGTATGTATTAGAAAATCAATTTGAACATTCTCTGTACATGAAATATACAACTTATGAATTTTTATTAGCTCATTTGCATAGAAATATCCATATCTAGCCTTAACTCACTTGCGGAAATGAAGTTTGTGTCACAGTTAGCAAAGATACCAGACCGTAATATAACCATTATCACCATGAGTGTACTCAGTCTTAGTGAAAATACTGATCAGTCTTAATAAAATACTCACTCACTAAAATACCAGACATCTTTCACAACTGTTGTGCAACTCAAGCAGTGTTTTTATACCCCGCTTGAAAAGTGGGAGAGTATATAGTGAATAAATGATCGGGATGTCCGTCCATCCGTCTGTCTGTTACGCTTTGGGTTACCCATCTCTTATCCGCAACTCTCTCATACCATTGAATGAAATTTTAATGAGACTTTCACATAATCTTTGTTACATGATGTCATTGTGACCTCTCATTTCACTTTTTGATCGGTATGCATTAACGTAACATTTACTGCCATGGGAGATGACACTTGTTGCTCTCAAAGCAAAAATCAGTGATAACACCTATCACACTTGACACTCATTATATGATCATAGGTACATAGGTAACAATTTATTTACTGTTAGTATTATTCATTAAAGCAAATGACTGTAGCACATATCAAACTATATCAATAACTACATGTATAGAAGTCTAGTGATCACTTTTCATTTAATTAATATATACTCGATATAAAGTGTTAGTGACAAATGAATGAACTCCCCTCAAATGTGTCAAACAAAATGAGCACAAATGATAAAGGAAAGAAATAACACACTAGATCATGATTCGTACAGAACAACAATCAACCGCACTTCATCTGGGACAACAACAGTAGCAACCCAAATAATTATCTCAGACAACGACAGTAGCAACTCAAATAATTATCTCAGACAACAACAGTAGCAACCCAAATAATTATCTCAGACAACGACAGTAGCAACTCAAATAATTATCTCAGACAACGACAGTAGCAACTCAAATAATTATCTCAGACAACAACAGTAGCAACCCAAATAATTATCTCAGACAACGACAGTAGCAACTCAAATAATTATCTCAGACAACAACAGTAGCAACCCAAATAATTATCTCAGACAACAACAGTAGCAATCCATCAATTATCTCAAACAACAACAGTAGCAATCCATCAATTATCTCAGACAACAACAATAGCAATCCATCAATTATCTCAGACAATAACAATAGAAATCCATCAATTATCTCAAAAAATAACAATAGCAATCCATCAATTATCTCAAACAACAACAGTAGCAATCCAAATAATTATCTCAAAAAATAAAAGTAGCAATCCATCAATTATTTCAAACAACAACAATAGCAATCCATCATTTATCTCAGACAACAACAATAGAAATCCATCAATTATCTCAGACAACAACTGTTATAATCAACCAGCATCATCTAAGAGAGAAACACTCACACAAAGTGGCCATCAACATCAAAGAGAAAACGGTCACACACCATCAACATCAGAGAGAAACAGTCACACACCATCAACATCAGAGAGAAACAGTCACACACCATCAACATCAGAGAGAAACAGTCACACACAATCAACATCAGAGAGAGAAACAGTCACACACCATCAACATCAGAGATAGAAACAGTCACACACCATCAACATCAGAGAGAGAAACAGTCACACACCATCAACATCAGAGAGAAACAGTCACACACCATCAACATCAGAGAGAGAAACAGTCACACACCATCAACATCAGAGAGAGAAACAGTCACACACCGTCAACATCAGAGAGAAACAGTCACACACAATCAACATCAGAGAGAAACATTCACACACAATCAACATCAGAGAGAAACAGTCACACACCATCAACATCAGAGAGAAACAGTCACACACCATCAACATCAGAGAGAGAACACCATCAACATCAGAGAGAGAAACAGTCACACACCATCAACATCAGAGAGAGAACACCATCAACATCAGAGAAAACAGTCACACACCATCAACATCAGAGAGAAACAGTCACACACAATCAACATCAGAGAGAGAAACAGTCACACACAATCAACATCAGAGAGAGAAACAGTCACACATCATCAACATCAGAGAGAGAAACAGTCACACACAATCAACATCAGAGAAAACAGTCACACACCATCAACATCAGAGAGAAACATTCACACACAATCAACATCAGAGAGAGAAACAGTCACACACCATCAACATCAGAGAGAGAACACCATCAACATAAGAGAAAACAGTCACACA